GACTCATCTTTACAATAAATCAAAAAATTAGCCGGGCGTGGTAGCGCGCGCCTGTAGTTCCAGCTACTCGGAAGGCTGAGGCGGAAGGATCGCTGGAGCCCAGCAGGTTGAGGCTGCGGTGACCAGGAGTGGCCACTGCACTCCAGTCTGGGCAATGGAGTGAGACTCCAACTCAAAAAAAGGAAAAAAAAGTATAGATAGCGTGATAGGCAGAAATTGGTAGGCAGAGTTAGTTTAGGTAGTGTTCAGGGAATGCTTCTCTGAGGGGAAGAAAATGTAGTGAAGATCTATGTGGAAGAGGCGCTGGCATGTTAAGAGATGGGCTAGGAATACAGCAAAGAGAGGGAGTAACAATTGCAAAGGGGGAGATGGAAAAGGTATTTAGAAAGTCTTGGAAGGCCCCTGTGACTGTAGCATAGTAAGCAAGGGAAAAATTGTATGTAGATAAGATTGGAGAGCACCTAGGGGCCATATGTAGGACTTTGTAAGCCACTGGAAGTACCTTGTTTAAGTCCTCAGTCCTTCAGATATTTTAATGTAACTGAATATATATGTATATACATACATATACATGTATGTGTATATATATATATATATATTTTTTTTTTTTATGAGTAGGAGTCTCCACTCTGTCACACAGGGTGGAGTCCAGTAGCATGCTCACGGCCACTGTGGCCTGGGCTCAGGTGATCCTTCCAAGTAGCTGGAACTACAGGCACTCACCACCACACCCAGCTAAGTTTTTTTTTTTTTAATTTATTGAAGAGACGAGGTCTCACTAAGTTGCCCGTCTCGAACCCCTGAACTCAGGCAGTCCTCTCACCTCCACCTCCCTAAATGCTGGGATTACAGGCACAAGCCACCATAACCGGCCTACAGTGAACATTCTTTTACTTGTTTTTGTTGAACATATTTACACATTTCTGCTGAGTATATTCCCAGGAGTTGAATTGCAGAGTCATAGGATATGTGTGTGTTCAGCTTTAGTAGATAACTCCCGCCAGCAACATTTGCAAAGTCTGACACTTCATATTTCCTATCTTTTTCAATTTAGCCATTCTGGTTGGTATATGGGGATATTGCTTTGTGTTTTCATTTTGTATTATTTTGATAACTATTGAAGTTGAGCACTTCTTCATATGTCATTGGCTATTTAGATATCTTTTGTTAGGAAGTTCTTGTTTGGGTCTTTTGCTCATTTTTCTATTGTGTTATCTGTCCTTATTGATTTCTGATTGAGCTAATTTTTTTTTTTTGAGTTGGAGTCTTACTCTGTTGCCCAGACTGGAGTGCAGTGGCCACTCCCGGCCACTGCAGCCTCGACCTGCTGGGCTCTGGCGATCCTTCCACTCAGCCTTCCAAGTAGCTGGAACTACAGGCGCGCGCTACCACGCCTGGCTAATTTTTGATTTATTGTAGAGATGAGGTCTCGCCAAGTTGCCCAGGCAGGTCTCGAACCCGCAGGCTCAGGCAGTCCACTAACCTCAACCTCCCAAAGGCATGGGATTACAGGCTGAGCCATCGAGCCCAGCTAAGCTAATTTTTTAATTGACTCTTTTTTTGTTGATTGCCCATAGTTCCAAATCCATTTTTAGTATCTTCTTTTAGAGATATTCATTCTTGTTTTATTTTGGGTTTTTTTGAGTTGGATTCTTACTCTGTCACCCAGGCTGGAGTGCAATGGCACACTCACGGCCACCTCAGTGTCGTCAACCTGCTGGGCTCCAGCGATTCTTCCACCTCAGCCTTCCAAGTAGCCAGAACTACAGGTGCATGCTACCACGCCCAGCACAATTTTTTTTTTTTTTATTGTAGAGATAAGGTCTTGGCCTTGGCCTCCCAAAATGCTGGAATTACAGGCTGAACCCAGCCTTCATTCTTGTTTCTTCTGATATCCAATGTAGCTGTGCTTAAAGGTGTCTGATAAACAGCTTTGACTGCTGCATTTACCTTGCACCTGCTGTAGTAGTGGGCTGAGATCTACCAGCAGAAAAGGCAAGGTAATCAATAGTAAATTTTTCTAGAGCATAACCTTTCCCCAGATTCTTTTTTTTTTTTTTTTTTTTTTTTAGTTCAATTCTCACTCTCTCACCCAGGCTGGAGTGCAGCGGCATCTTCCCAGCCACCATAGCCTCATCCTGCTGGGCTCAGGTGGTCCTTCTGCCTCAGCCTTCTAGTAGCTGGAATTACAGGCACACGACACCACACTCGGCTAATTTTTTGATTTACTGTAGAGATGAAGTCTCACTAAGTTGCCCAGGCTGGCCAATTCTTGATTATAACTATATTTCTCCTCCTCCACTCCTTCTTTCATGGTTCTTGGATAGCATTAAATTGTTGAACAGAGCATGGTAGTGCATGCCTGTAGTTCTGACTACTTGGAAGGCTGAGGTAGAAGAACTGCCTGAGCCCAGCAGGTCGATGCTGGAGTGGCCATGAGGGTACCACTGCACTCCTGCCTAGGTGATCGAGTGAGACTCTGATTCAGGGAAAAAAAATTGTTGAACAGAACTGAGAATTTTCCCCCTTGACTTTTTTCATTGTCATCAATTATTCAGTGTTACTCTGATGTCTCTGTATAATTAGGCACAAGAGAACAGCAGCTCCGTAAAGAAGAAGACAAAGTTTGTCAATTTATACACAAGAGAGGGGCAGGATAGGCTTGCAGTCCTGCTCCCTGGCCGCCACCCTTGCGACTGCCTGGGCCAGAAGCACAAGCTCATCAATAACTGTCTCAACTGTGGGCGGATTGTCTGTGAACAAGAAGGCTCTGGCCCGTGCTTATTTTGTGGCACTCTGGTAAATGGTTTCTTTTCTATTTTATTTTACTGTGCTTTGTGTTAATATACAGGGCTATTCAGATTCCCAGTAATTTCTCTTTTTTCAGTAAAATTCTTCCCTAAATGGTATAGTGAACTCTGGTAGCAGAAATTTAATTAGTAAGAAACCCAAGCTTATATCCTAGTACTGAGGCCTGTTAGTAAGAAGAGTTTTATTTTGTTAAGGGATCCAAGTATCAGATTGATTTTAATTCAAGAAATTTTAAGGCCTGAAATGTCAAAAGTTTCTGTCAGCATCTTCAGATGTGCTTCATAACCTTAGGAGAACAGAACCACTGTGATATAATTATCAGGTCATTATAGCTTCTGTTTCTAGGACACTGCTATGTTATACCTTTGCTTTTTCTGAGAGAATGACCTCAAGAATGTAGCAGTAATGATTCTCTCACAAAAACCTTAATGAGCTTTCTTTTTTTTTGAGTGGGAGTCTCACTCCGTTGCCCAGGCTGGAATGCAGCGGCATGCTTACGGCCCACCCCAGCATCAACCTGCTGGGCTCCAGCGATCCTTCCACCTCAGCCTTCCAAGTAGCCGGAACCACAGGCACGCATAACCACACCCGGCTATTTTATCATAGAGATGAGGTCTCACCAAGTTGCCTGCGCTGGTCTCGAACCTGTGGGCTCAGGCAATCCACTCGCATCAGCCTCCCAAAGTGCTGAAATTACAAGGCTAAGCCACTGAGCCTAACCAATGAGCTTTCTAGAAAGCTTATTTTACTGGCAGAAGCAGTGTCGTTTGATATTAGTAAAGGCATCTATTTTATATTACTTTTCTTTCTCCTCTTCTCTGATGGGGACCTTAAGTTTTCCATATACTCAGAGAATAAGCTGATAGACAATGGATGACCTGAAAAATGTAGCATCTACCAATAAAAATGTTTATAAAATGACCATAATTCTCCTCTCATATGAGCCTTTCTTTTTAGAAACTGTGTCGTTGAGGCAGCTGCTAGGAAGTATTGTACAGTGTTTTCTCTTAGGTCTCTTTCATCCTTCAGTTCAAGAAACAGAATGATGCAAAGCAGATTGGCCTTGAAGTTTTGCCGGTTTTTGTTTGTTTGTTTGTTTTTTGAGTTGGAGTCTCACTCTGTCGCCCAGACTGCCAGACTGGAGTGCAGTGGCTGCTCCCGGCCACCGCAGCCTCAACCTGCTGGGCTCCGGCGATCCTTCCGCCTCAGCCTTCCAAGTAGCTGGAACTATAGGCATGTGCTACTGCACCCAGCTACTTTTTGATTTATTGTAGAGATGAGAGCTCGCCAAGTTGCCCAGGCGGGTCTCAAACCCACGGGCTCAGGCAATCCACTCACCTCGCCCTCCCAAAGTGCTGGGATTACAGGCTGAGCCACCAAGCCCGGCCAGTTTTGCAATTTTACAAGCTCAGTAAAACCCTTTCTTAGCCTCCCTTCTTACAATTACAGTGATTTTATAACTAATAGAGCTTCTTTGCTTAGTGTATTCATTATTTTATAAGTAGGTAATGTTTGAAGGCAAAGGAACAAAATATATACAGTATAAAAGCTTGATTCTTACTGGTGGTACTATAATTTGCTTTTTTTTATGGTTCTTTGCCTTTTTTTTTTTTTTTTTTGAGTTGGAGTCTCACTCTGTCGCCCAGACTGGAGTGTAGTGGCCACTCCCGGCCACCGCAGCCTTGACCTGCTGGGCTCCGGCGATCCTTCCGCCTCAGCCTTACAAGTAGCTGGAACTACAGGCGCGTACTACCACGCTCGGCTAACTTTTTAAAAAATTTATTGTAGAGATGCAGTCTCGCCAAGTTGCCCAGGCGGGTCTCAAACCCATGGGCTCAGGCAGTCCACTCACCTCAGCCTCCCAAGGTGTGGGATTACAGGCTGAGCCACGGAGCCCAGCTATGGTTCTTTTTTTGTTTGTTTTTTCTATTCTATTCTATAAAAAAACAAAAGAAAGAAGCAGAGAGAAGCCAGGTTCAGTGGATTACGCCTGCATTCCTAGCACTTTGGAAGGTCGAGGCAAGAGGATCTCCTAAGGCCAGGAGTTCATGACAAGGCTGGGCGACATAGTGAGACTCGGCTGATTTTTGATTTATTGTAGAAATGAGGTCTCGCCAAGTTGCCCAGATGGGTCTGAACCCGTGGGCTCAAGCAATCCACTCACCTCAGCCTCCCATTACAGGCTGAGCCACCGAGCCCGGCTCTTTCTTTCCTTTTTTGAATTGGAATCTCACTCTGTTGCCCAAACTGGAGTGCAGTGGCATGCACGCTCCTGATCACTGCAGGCTCGACCTACTGGGCTCTGTCAATCCTTCTGCCTCAGCCTTCCAAGTAGCCAGAACTACAGTGTGCTACCACGCCCAGCTAATTTTTGATTTATTGTAGAGATGAGGTCTTGCCAAGTTGCCCGGGTGGGTCTTGAACCCACGGGCTCAGGCAATCCACCTGGGAATCCTGGCTGAATTTCCACAGTGGCTCCAGTAGAGCTGTTTGGTAGCCCATCTTGCTCTCAGGCATGCAACAAGGCAAAAGGAAGGAGCTCCCAGGCGCATGCCCTGGTTCTTTCTAATAAGAAGTCTGCTTATAAGTGTTACTCATGTCAAATTTGGGCTTTATGATTAGAACTGGAGGCTTTTTTAAGTATTATGTTTTTTCCAGTATTTTCAACAGTGGCAAACATTTGTCTTTTTAGAGTAAGTTAGGGTTTTGGTTTTTTTTTTTAACCACCAAGAGTCATTCAGGGACACTTGCAGTGAGACCATTTTTTTTTGTTATAGCTCGTAAGGAGAGAAATGTAAAGAGACCTAGGAAAAACTCATTTGTATGTGTATAGAAAGGGGGACCCCCAAAAAAGCAGAATCATCTTTTGGAGGGCAGGCCCCTCTTAGTATACTTGGAATTTTGGAATCTGTTCCTCCACATTAAATGGTCAACCAAAGTTTTTTTCTGGAACTTTTGAGAAGGTTGCATCACGATTTATGGAAGAAATGTCCTGAGTCATGGCACAGGTGACTGGTTCTTCCACCATAACAACATACCTGCCCACACCACGCTGAGAATTCAGTAGTTTTTTACCAAAAATTGCATGACCCTTGTGCCTACCCTCTCTATGCACCCGATCTTGCCACCGATGACTTTTTTTGTCTCCTTGGATGAAAAAAGTCCGATGTGATAGAGATGAAACAAAAAATGGCAGAAGCACTAAGAGGCATCAAAATTGATGAGTCCAAAAACTGTTTTGAGCAGTGGAAAAAACATCTTGATAGGTGTATTGCATCAAATGAAGAGTACTTTGAAGGTGACTGAAGTTTAAACATGTAAGAGTAAAAACACAATTTTTAATAAATAAATTCTGGGCTTTTTGGGTCCCCCCTCGTATTTTGGTATGTTTGTCTGGATAATAAAACACCAATAGTCTCATTTCTAATGTGTAATTTGAGGTTACTTTTAGGTATATCAAGCAATCATATAATTGAACTATTGCATCACATGTCTTACTCTTATTACTTTATAGGTATGCACTCATGAAGAACAGGATATTTTACAGCGTGACTCAAACAAGAGCCAGAAACTGCTAAAGAAGCTCATGTCAGGTAGACAGCAATCTAATTGGATCCCTGTGGTGTTATGTACATTTTGTTACACCAGTGGTTGTTTCTCTTTTCTATGCCCTGGTGTCCAAGATGCAGTTTATTCACCCATTTATTCTTGAAGCATCTATTTAAAAAAAAAATTAAGACCACATAAAGGCCACGTGTTGTGGCTAGTGCCTATAATTCTAGCACTTTGGGAACCCAAGGTGGGAGGATTGCTTGAGTCTAGGAGTTTGAGACTAGCCTTGGCAACAATAGCGAGAACTCATCTCTACAAAAAGATTAAAAAATTAGCCAGCTGTGATGGCATGCGCCTGTGGTCCCAGCCATTAGGCAGGCTGAGGTATAAGGATTGCCTGAGTCTAGGAAGTTGAGACTGTGGTGAGCCCTGATTGTGCCACTGCATTCCAGCCTGGGCAACAGAGTGAAACCTCAACGCAACAAACAAAAACACATGACATTGAGCAACAAATTAAATAATAATAGTATTGGGTTATAATCCAAAGAATAAAATTAATATCCATGAGACTATACTCATCTAAATAAATTACTGAATAAGTAAATAAATGTGAGACAAATTTTTCTTTCTTATAGAAAAATTCCAGTTAACATTAAGTAGAAACAATGAGGATACTAGAAAATCACTGCTAGAATACCACAGGAGTAACTGCTGCAGGCAAGACCCACCTTATTGGGCAGAAGTTTTTTTGTTTTGTTTTGTTTGATTTATTGTAGAGATGAGGTCTCGCCAAGTTGCCCAGGTGGGTCTCGAACCCGCGGGCTCGGGCAATCTACTCACCTCAGCCTCCCAAGGGCGCGGGATTACAGGCTGAGCCACCGAGCCTGGCTTGTTTTGTTTTTTGTTTTTTTGTTTGTTTGTTTGTTTGTTTGAGTTGGAGTCTCACTTGGTCGCCCAGACTGGAGTGCAGTGGCCACTCCCGGCCACCGCAGCCTCGCCTGCTGGGCTCCGGCAATCCTTCCGTCTCAGCCTTCTGAGTAGCCAGAATTACAGGCGTGCGCTACCACGCCCGGCTGATTTTTTGATTTATTGTAGAGATGAGGTCTCGCTGCCCAGGCGGGTCTCGAACCCGCGGGCTCAGGCAATCCACTCACCTCAGCCTGTTTTGTTTTTTTTATAGTTGGAGTCTCACTCTGCCACCCAGGCTGGAGGGCAGTGGCACACTCACGGCCACCACAGCCTCAACTTGCTGGACTCAGGCAGTCCTTCTACCTCAACCTTCCGAGTAGCTGGAACTAAGGCACGTGGTTGCTATTTTTTTTTTTTTTTGAGTTGAAATCTTACTCCGCCACCCAGGCTAGAGTACATTCATGGCCACCCCAGCATCGACCTGCTGGGCTCTGGCCATCATTCCGCCTCAGCCTTCCAAGTAGCCAGAACTACAGGTGCACATTACTATGCCGAGCTAATTTTTGATTTATTGTAGAGATGAGGTCTCACCAAGTTGACTGGGCTGGTCTCGAACCAACACTTTGGGAGGCGGAGGCAAGAGGATGCCTGAGTCCATGGGTTTGAGACCAGTCTGGGCAACCTGGCAAGATCTCGTTGCTACAGTAAAATCAAAAAACAAGTCAGGCATGGTGGCACACACCTGTGGTTCCAGCTATTTGGAAAGCTAAGGCGGAAGGCTTGCCTGAGCCTATCAGGTCGAGGGTGCGGTAGCCGTGAGCATGCCAATGCACTCCAGCCTTGGCAACAGAATCACTCCAACTCAAAAAATAAAAAAAAACCAATAGAGGTCTTGTATAACCTTCACCCAGCTTCCCTTAATCTTAGTGTCTCATCAAGCCCCAATACAATGATGAAAACTAAGAAATTAACATTGATATATTACTACTAATCAAATTATAGACTATATGGATTTTAACATTTTTTTCTGTTAATGTCAGTTTTCTGTTCTTGGATATAATTCAAATTCCATACTGCATTTTGTTGTCACATCTTAGTTTGCTCCAATCTGTGACATTTCTTCAGTCCCTTCATGCCTTTCATGACCTGGTAAATCTCTTGTTCTTAAACTTCCACCCAGGCCAGGCGCGGTGGCTTAGACCTATAATCCCAGCACTTTGGGATGCCGAGGTGAGAGGATTGCCTGAGCCCATGAGGTTGAGACGAGTCTGGGCAACTTGGTGAAACCTTATCTCTACAATAAATCAAAAAATTAGCTGGGAATAGTGGCATGTGCTTCTAGTCCTGGCTACTTGGAAGGGTGAGGCAGAAGGTTTGCCTGAGCCAAGCAGGTAGAGACTGTAGTGGCTGTGAGAGTACCACTGCACTCCAGCATAGACAACAGAGTGAAACTCCTACTAAAAAACAAACCAAAAAACCCCCCAAATTGTCACCTTTGATAATATATCTTTTTTTGAGTTGGAGTCTCACTGTGTAGCACAGGCTGGAGTGCAGTGGCACGCTGACAGCCACTGAAGTCTCAACCTGCTAGGCCTAGGCAATCCTTCTGCCTCAGTCTTCCAAGTAGCCAGTACTACAGGCACACGCCACCATACCCAGATAATTTTTTTATTGTAGAGACAATGTCTTACCAAGTTGCCCAGGCTGGTCTTGAGTCCCTGGGCTCAGGCAGCTTCTCGACTGCACCTCCCAAAGTGCTTGGATTACAGGCATTAGCCATTGCGCCCAGCTAACATATCATTTGATTTATTTCCTTGGGGTAAATTCCTGTTAATGGAATGACTGAGGAAAAGAATATGATAATTTTTGAAACTTGAGAAGTATTTGCCAAATTATTTTACCAAAACATTGTACTAATCTATAGGAATATTAGTGCTGTACCCTAAAACCTGTTCCCTACTGAAATTAGAGCTGTGGCCGGGCAAGTTGACTCAGCCTATCATCCCAGCACTTCAGGAGGCTGAGGAGAGTGGATTGCCTGAGCCCGTGGATTCGAGACCTGCCCAGGCAACTTGGCGAGACCTCGTCTCTACAATAAAGTAAAAAATAGCTGGGCGTGGTACTGCACGCCTGTAGTTCTGGCTACTTGGAAGACTGAGTCAGAAGGATCACCGGAGCACAGGTTGATGCTGGGGTTGCCATGAGTGTGCCACTGCTCTCCAGACTGGGTGATAGAGTGAGACTCCAACTCAAAAAAAAGAAAAGAAATCTGAGTTGTAATTTTTTTAATTGTTAATAAGCTCAAGCATGTCTTTATGTCTTTTTCCTTTATTTATTTATTTATTTTGAGTTGTAGTCTCACTTCATCGCCCAGGCTGGAGTGCAGTGGCATGCACACTCATGGCCACCCCAGCGTCGACCTGCTGGGCTTCGGTGGTCCTTCTGCCTCAGCCTTCCAAGCAGCCAGAACTACAGGCGTGCACTATCATGCCCGGCTAATTTTTTGATTTATTGTAGAGACAGGTGCCACCATTTTGTCCAGGCAGGTCTCAAACCCATGGGCTCAGGCAGTCCTCTTGCCTCAGTCTCCCAAAGTGCTAGGATTACAGGCTGAGCCACCGAGCCCAGCCTGTATCTTTTTCAGTTAGGATTTTTTAAAGATCATTCTGAGAAAAAGTGATTCTAAGTGTTTTTCTTATATTCAGAACACTAGAATCTTCTTTTTTTTCCTTTTAATTTTATTTATTTATTTATTTTTATTTTTTTAGTTGGCGTCTCCGAAGCCCAGGCTGGGATGCAGTGGCACACTCATTGCCACCCCAGCACCACCTGCTGGGCTATCCTTCCGCCTCAGCCTTCCAAGTAGCCGGAACTACAGGTGCACGCTATCACACCCAGCTAATTTTTTATTTATTGTAGAGGCAAGGTCTCATCAAGTTGCCCATGCTAGTCTCGAACCCGTGTGCTCAGGCTGTCCACTCACCTCGGCCTCCCAAAGTGCTGGGATTACACCCTGGCCTTCTTTTAATTTTAATAGAAAGATTAGGCCGGGCTCGGTGGCTCAGCCTGTAATCCCGTGCTTTGGGAGGCCGAGGTGAGTG